ATTGTGGAGATGAGGTCTCGCCAAGTTGCCCAGGTGGGTCTCGAACCCGCGGGCTCAGATTGGTCGTATTATTTCTATTGTACTGATGAGAGAACTGAGGTTGAGTAATTTGAATCAGATTTTTATGACTTGCTGTGTGTTAATGGGTTATAGACATAAGAAACACATGCATACTGCTATGTCATGTCAAAATCATGGATGGCAGTGAGCTAGTAATATTTAATAGGTTTTAGGATTAAAGTTGCCTTTTTGCTGAATGTTAGACTTATTTTGTGGGTATACATGTTTGACAGCAGTTATCAAGCCTTGGATGATTTTGTTTATCCAAAATGCTTTCAAAATTCATAGGTAATCTCCCTCCCCACGAAACACACACAAAGGACTCATTGACTGTCCAGCCAACTATTCATCAAATGGAATGCATTGTTAGTTGGCCCCAGCCTTTGCATTGCTTCCACAGCTGTATTTCATCCTTGTTTGCTGTTGGGGCTCGTAGGTGCCCACATACGGTGAGAGGGGGATTCAGGAGAAGCTGGGAAGGCAGTCAAGCATCTTAGAAAGACACTAGTCTCATCTTTTGAGTCCCTTTGACACTTGACTGACAGTGGTTGTGCTCCCTAAAGCTTCCTTGAAAGAATGTTAAGATCCGTTTTTTCAAAGGATGAAGAATCAGCATTTTGACCCTGGACATTTGGTGCCCCTGCCTGTGCTCCTGCAGTAGCTTCGATTGCAGATAGCAGTTGCCGTCGTTTAGAAATGGGCAGTAGCAGTCTTTGCTTTGGCCACCATCTTTTCATTTTGCACACTTGCAGTTACTTCCAGGCACCTGAAAATAGCCCAGACAGAAAAAGTGAGGCCCTCAGCAGTGCTTCTGAGGCTGCTGTTTCCATCGTTTCTGTCCTGCCGTAGAACGGCAGGAGCCTGCCTATGCCTGGCTTGTGCCAGGCCCCTTGCTGGGAAGGAGCTGGTAAGAGTGCAGGGAGAACAGACTGGGGTTCCGCACCCATAACCACGTTCTGTTTGTTTGCCCTAGGAAAGACTGCTGCCTTTTCAAGCGAAGGGAAGCTTCTAGGACTGGCTGTCCCCTGCTGAGCTCAGTGGTGTCCACACCCTGGCGCATCCCTCCTCACTGGCCAGTCTCCTCCCACTGAGGGGCTGGAATTGTCTGCACACATTTGGGCCTCCCAGAGTGATCTGCTTCCTGAGTAAAGAGCTCCTGATCCTAATTATGTGCACAGCCCTTTGATCAGGAGCCCAGGAGGGACACGTACTTTCTGTTAAAGCTTCTCTTGTCCTCATCTTTTCTTACCAGATTACAAACTTTGTTTTCAAGGGGAGGGTTTAAAAATGGGATCCTTTAAGCAAAATCAGGCAGTTTCATTATGGAATAGGTTGTCTGTACTTGTTCTAATGTTTTGTAGAACACATGTGCCTGTTTAAATGTATTGATGTGGATAATATTAAATATCTTAATTATTTAAATAATTCATTGTATTGTTTCTGAGAAGTTGGGAAATTACTGTATACATTTACAACTTAATGACTTTTGTATTTTATTTTTCAAAATAAAAGCTTTAAATGTGAAGCATTCTGGTAGTTACATCTTTTCACTAATGCGATTTCACAGAAGCACAAGACCTTATCAGATGGTCATATGATAAACCAAAGTCTCTTCAGTTGCTGTATTGTGGATATTTCCCTCAAGGCATCATTATTTTTTAGTTTTCTGTAATTTATTTCAGTGAGGCCCTTTTGTCACTCATTTTCAGAAACCTGTTGTATTTCATGCTTGTATACTGTATTTAAGGATGGAGAAGCTACTTTTTCCAGTTGTTTTCTAGACACCATTGCTAATGGAACACAGAATGGCCATGTAATAGTAATGATTCCTATTTGAGTGTTCTGTGTGCCAGGCACTGAAAAAGGTATTTAATGTGTTATCTCTGCCCCTAAAACTGTACCTCCTACAGTTTTCATCCCAGTAATTGCAATATTTTCTACCCTGTCACTCAAGTCAGAAACCCGTTACACTTTGTTTCACCCTTTTCCTCTTTCGATCCACATCCGAGATCTCTGATTCGAACTTCAAAGTATTTCTTGACTCTGTCCACTTTCCTCCAGCCCCACTGTCCCCACCCTAATCTAAGACATCCCCCCCGTCACCTAGGTTATTGCAATAGGAAACCTCTCAAACAATATCCCATTCCTACTCTTGGCCCCCTTAGGTTGTTCAACACACAGCAGAATAATACTTTTAAAATGCATGGAGTTTCAATTTGTTGTTAGGCTGGCATGCAGTAGCACATTCATAGCCACCACAGCCTTGACCTGCTGGGCTCAGGTGATCTGCCTCAACCTTCCAAGTAGCTGGAACTACAGGCACATGCCTCCATGCCTGGCTAATTTTTAAATTTATAGTAAAGATGAGGTGTTGCCAAGTTGCCCAGGCTGGTCTCAGACAATCCTCTCAACCTGGTCTCCCAAAGTGCTGGGATTGTAGGCATGAGCCACTGTGCCCGGCCTCTTTTTTTTTTTTTTTAAGTCAGTCTCGCTCTGTCGCCCAGGCTGGAGTGCAGTAGTATGTTCACAGCTCACGACAGCCTTGAACTCCTGGGCTCAGATAATCCTTTGCCCTCAGCCTCTCAAGTAGCTGGGACTACAGGCATGTGCCACCACACCTTGCTAATTTTTTTATTTTTTGTAGAGACGGGATCTCACTATGTTGCCCAAGCTGGTCTCAAACTCCTGGGTTCAAGCAATCCTCCCGCCTCAGTCTCCCAAAGTCCTGGGATTACAGGAGAGAGGCACCACGCCCAGCCCCAGTTTATTTCCCAGACTCCTGCCAGCACACAGTACTGACTTCCTTTCCACCTCATCACAAGTCTTTCTCTTCCCACCTCACCCCTTGTGCGCTAGGGTTCTTTTTTCCTGGAACACATCAGGCTTTTCATGTCACCCACCCATCTTACTCTTCTCTCTGGAATGTTCTTCCCTTTGCCCTTTGCCTGACAAGCTCCTTCTTTCTCAACTCTTTGGTCTCAATAAACTTAACTTCCTCAGAGAGATTTTCCCTGGCCTCTTGAAGTGTAGATCGCCTTCCTGCCTCCTTTCTTCACAGTACTTATCACACTTTGCAGTTGTTTATCATTTGTTGACTTTATTTTTTAAAATTGTCTCCTACACTAAACGGTAAGTTCCTGGAAGACTATGTCTTTTCTTGTCCACTTTTGTACCCCTGGCACCTATCAACATGTCTGGCACTTTCTAGGAACCAAATTCTTGGTGAATGACTAATCCTCCCAGGAACCTTCTGGCATACATGCCATTTTACAGATGAAGAAACAGATTCAGGTCAAATCAAGTCTCTTACACAAGGGCCCAAGCTAGCGCTACTGTGGTGATCTGGTATCCAGGCCCAAGCCTGACGCTAATAACCTTTCCACTCCACTCCCCTAGCCCGCTTCCTTTTATTTAAAATGAACACCACAAGCTGGGCTCGGTGGCTCAGCCTGTAATCCCGCGCCTTTGGGAGGCTGAGGTGAGTGGATTGCCTGAGCCCATGGGTTCGAGACCCGCCTGGGCAGCAAGACCTCATCTCTACAATAAATCAAAAAATCAGCCAGGCGTGGTAGCGCACGCCTGTGATTCCGGCTGCTCGGAAGGCTGAGGCGGAAGGATCACCGGAGCCCAGCGGGTCGAGGCTGCGGTGGCTGGGAGCGGCCACTGCCCTCCAGTCTGGGCGACAGAGTGAGACTCCAACTCAAAAACAAACAAATACATAAATAAATAAAATAAGTAAAATGAACACCGCTGCTGGATCAGTCCTGTGTTTAGCGCTGTGTTTTAAGTGATTCCTCTGTTCCAAAATCTTCTCTGATTCTCTAATGCCTAACACATCACATCTAAACATCTAAGCTATTCTGCCACAATGTGGCCTCCATACTCCGTCATATACAGAACTCTCTCCTGTCTCCTTTTTCTTCACACTTTCTGCTTCCTCCTGATCCCCAAACACCGGTTTCCCTACCTGGGAAATCCTAGCCTCATTAAAGTCTCAGCTACCTTAAGTTCCGTTTCCTCATGAAGTCTAACTCTACTGCTGCAGCCTCCAAATAGCAACTAAATCAGTTTCAGCGTAACAAATCTGTTTGTTTCCTGTGTTAGTATCTTATCACCAACTTTGTGGGGAAGAGTTCATGTGCCCCTCTAAAGCTTATCAGAATGGGAGAGGAGAACGTCTTTAAACTGTAGCCCACCCAGATCCCAAGGCCCCTAAGCGAATGCATGATTTTTATTCCTCATCCTTGTCCACCCCTGGAGAATCCACTGTTATGGATGGGAGTGGGTGTGGATTAGAATAAGAAAAGGGCGGAGAACCATGGTGCAGAATTGACTCAGGAAAGCCTTCCATTCACAGCTAGTCTAAAGCGAGTTCTGTGGCATCTCCATCCCTGTTGAGACTTTCTGTCTGGTCTGAGCACACGTCTCTTCAGCCCTGAAAAGCAAAGTGTTTCTGTTCCATGTGGCACATTAGATTACCTTTAGCATTTCACTAAGATGACTTTGTATCTGTGAAATGGGCTGATCTGTTGGAATCAGATGGAACGCCTGCTGAATAAAATAAAAGATGTCTGGGGTAAAATCACAGAAGAAGTAACTGGGCAAGGAACCAGGGTAGGCATGTGACCTGTGACCCTCAGAGAGCTTCCTGGACCCAGCAGAGCCAAGGCCACACCAGCAGGTGAACCCCGGAAGCCAGGGAGAGGCTGGTGTCCTCAGTGGCTGCGGTTGGAGCTTAGAGCATCAACCATGAAGAATCATGGAATTTAGGAACAAGAGAAAAAGTCTTTAAAATCTTAGTCGTCCTTTAGTTAAATAATCGTTCTAGAAACATTTATCAAGAGCTTCTCACGGTCCAGCCCCTGTGCTAACCACTTTATATGTTGAAACGTATTTCTCATAATCACCCTCTGGGGCAAGAATTATTACCACCCGCATTTTACAAGAAGATGAAGCATCTGCTCAGAAAGTAAAGTGAGCCGGGCTCGGTGGCTCAGCCTGTAATCCCACGCCTTTGGGAGGCTGGGGTGAGTGGATTGCCTGAGCCCGCGGGTTCGAGAC